GTATGTACATGTACGTGTATGTACATGTTCGTACTTCGGGCAATTTTTAGCCGCAACTTTTGTAATGCATCATACTCATAGAAAACTTGCCCATTGCATTAAGAGAATATATGCAAAGCTCTCTCTTTATTTGATTTTGTTGTACAAGCATGACCATGAATTCAGTTCTGTTTTCACCCAGGAGGGCTCTGCAGTATTTCTGCACAGGAGTGAGGAGTTGGCGCTCCAGTCGTTTTAGGTACACGTACAATGTAGCTCTGCGGATAGATCTCCTCTGCACTGTAATGCACAAACGTAGATATCTTTTGTACATCTGTGTCTGGTGTGTACACGTGCTGTCCATTCAAAGAGAGCTCAGTGCATCAGACGACAGATCACTGTGTGGGTTTTTCTGATCGCGGTCTGTGTACTTTGTTTCATGATTGCATTCTGACGTCATCTTGAGGTTTATGGTAGGTTTGGCCTGCGTGAAAAAAAACAAGGTGTGGGCAATGGCATTTTAACAGGGTACCATATTTATTTTTGAAATCCATTTATTTGAAATACACATACACTATTCATGGTCTCATCAAATACAGGAGGGGATGTTGGCCCAAAGCATGCTGCATATTAAGTATTTGATGTTTAAACCCACTTAAGATTTCTTAAAGAGTGAGTGTCAAATATACATGTTCTGTTAAAAATGTTGAGTCCTCTTACGTGTAGGGGTATCTTTTCGTATTTCTAGAGAGAGTCTGAAGAATTTTGCAACTCCATTTCCACTCGCCTTTTCCTTGATTTGATATGTCGAATGGGAAATTATTTCGCACAAAACATATTTTCCAGGGGGTTGAGCGAGTCTTAAAAGGGAAAGTTTATTTGTGTATTATAATTAATTGTTCAGTTCTACACGTATGTGGACATTTGTGTAAACATATATAAATATATTCTTATTAATCAAAGTAGCCAAGAATTGTTGCTTTTTTGCTTTGAATTCCAAAGAAAGAGATATATCTTGCATATTTTTATATACATACATGTAATGAACATCACGGCAGTGTTGCCTCCAGACAGTAAGTTTCAAAGAAGCAATGCTTTACTTTTTTAAAACTGATGGCAGTATTACCGGGCGTGAGATTTTTTAGACTTTTGTCTGAATTCAGACATTTCGAATCTGATAGAAAGCATTATCGGTATGGGAGGGAATGCACCCTACAGCCTTTTTCTACCCAGTTTTAGATAATGTATTTCTTAAAACTGATAATCTCATCCCTGATTACATAACGTGTACTTCATAACTGCATTTCTAGTCTACTTTTGAGTCTGTACCCTTTGGTGTAATGCAGACAGGCAACTGCAGAAGAGCTGAACATGTCTAAAGCATCTTTTTTTCTTTTTTGGGTGGCAGTTGGCTTACATATACAGATCATGTAATGCATTTATAATTTATTTTGAGAGAAATGTGTGCAGTGCTGGAAAGGATAACTTGCCGAAAGTCTTGTGACCACAACATTCAATCTGTGAACAAGTGTAGCATCACTATTATGTGTTGCTCCGGATGTACATGTTCGCTGTGCAGATGTACTATATGCGGTCTTAGGGTGAAAGAAGGCAAATTTAGGGGACTATTTCACTATCCTCCCGTCCAAAAGTGTGTCAAAAGTTCCCACATTTAGCTTCACTTCCAAGAAAGGCCATCAGATGGTCACATTGTACATCAAGAAATTTCAATAGTTTTGCCCCCCCTCCCAAAAAAGAATGCGGTTCGGGATCCGCCCTTGGGGAGTAGCCACTGCTGTCATTGTAAACCTTCTTGTCTCACTTGGGCCCAGTTTCATGGTGCTGCTAAGCACACAGTTCTATGCTAACAGGGGCTCTGTGTGCTTCAAGAAGACGGAAGCAGTAAGCATGGCAGAATGGGCGTTTATCTCAGAGGAAAAGGTTTGCTTCTTTGTTGTTGCAAAACACTGGAAATCTCTACGTGGGCACTGTCAGCACAACCGTGCCACATATTGCCATGAAATTCTGGCTGTGGTTAGTAAGATTTTATGCTATAGTAATAGTAAGCATGACTTTTCTGCTAGCTGTTAAGCAGCTCCGTCAAATTGGTCCCTGCACACAGGTCCAGTGTTTGTTAAGACATCTTTACACAGCTCTCACAGCCCCAGTTGAGGCTCACTCAGAGATGGTTCCACCATCTCTATCACTTTGAAAAAATAGGGCAAATCTGGCCCCTTTTTAGGAGACAAAAACGTCAATTCACTTTTAAACTTAAATTTAACTGAAAATTTTCATTGAAAATGGATAACTTAATGTTGAGTAACTGGGGAATTCCCACAAGACAGCTGGTGGTATCGTAGAACATCGAACAAAATAATTTTGTATGACATATCTAATTCCTTGTACAACTGTACAGAGCACTAGAAAACTTACCTCCCTGCCAGCAGTGCATTTCTTGCTCATTTTCGTTTCAGGCTGACAGGTTGCCTCTATATCAGCCAGACATTTAGGCAGTTCTGAGATCTGCAGTTTGTGTACAATAGAAGTGGCAAGCACTAATGTTTTTAGGCTTTTCGTGGTGAAGGTGGCAAGTTAATAAGGGTTTGCCGTACTCTAAGGTTCTTTTCAGCGAGTTTCCTCCGAGAACTTTTGCATGGTGCTACTGCAGCCCTTTTACTTACCTTGAACCTTTCTCGTTAATCTTTGCTGAATGAATGTGGCATTTGTGTCAAGTTTCATGTCAACATTTATTTCAATTTCAGCTCACTGTATAAAAAAATTCTGGAACAGTATGGTAAGAGAAATATCATTTAATGAAATGTTAAAGTGTAGCTGTAATGAATTTTTCTTGGACACAATTTTTCTTCAACTTCAACTTGTTTTTTTTTCCAATGTATGAAAACTCTTTAACTTGCCTATTTGGTTAAATATTTTGAAATGTGTATGCTTTTAAACAGTTAAAAATTATCCATGCTTTCCCGGACAAGTGAGGTCACAGTTGCTGTGAAGTTATCTAGGGAAGACAAGTTCCAGTGCATAAGCATTTCTGTTTAAGTTGTAAACCCAGAATTTACTAACTGAAAACACGTCTGAAAGAGGGATTGATGCTTCTATGCACGAAAAAAAAAACCAATGAATCATCAGAGAAGTGATCAATGCCAGGAAGATCTACAAAAATGGGGGACATTTTTGTATACCAACCAATGTAACATTCAGGCTTTTCCTGAGATGACATCATCGTGAATATGGAAATACTTATTAGTATAAAACTAAAAAGGTGGTAAAATACCCTTTGAAACAGTGAAACAGAAGTGGAAAATGAGGTAAGGTGAGACACAGAGGTGCCTTTGGGAGGTTTGTATTCTAGAAAAGGAAAAAAAGATTGCAGCTATCCCATAAGCCAGACAAAAAAAGCTGTTTTCTTATATTTGAAATTGCTAAAACTTTTAGGCAGTAAATTTTGTGTGTAAACAACCTAGTTGTATTTTTGCACTTTTCATCCAAAATAAATCTATTTAAAATGCTTTAATGGAGATTTTGTGAGGGCTTCATTAAGTACGTAGTTTCTCCCAGAGGCAATTAATGATTTAGCTTCAAACAATACGGTTATTATTACTTTGACTTTTCATTTTCACCGTTTAACTTTTGCAGTTGTTGTTTTTTCCCCCAAATAATGAATATTTATACCCAACCAGAAAACACAAGGATATCCCACAGTAATATGTCACATAATTCTATAATGTTTACTGGTATAACTTAAATTCCAATTTATGGTGTTTCCTGTTCGTGCTTTGCTTTTATTTCCATATGTGCTAGGTGCAATGGACACTTCTAGGTGCTTTTAATAAACAGAGTAGGACCTTGTGCTTTGTATTTTCCAGTCGTTTCCTGCCTCATTCCGAAAATAATGATTTCATAATATTCCCATTTGTTGGGCAAGTTATGGTTACCGAGTATCACTGTAGTTCTGTAAAATGCTTTAATTTTTCCCTGAAATTTCCACGTACTCACTCGGTTTTTTACAGTTTAAAAATCCTCCAAATTTCATCGTTTTCTCAAAACCGGTCCTTGAATAATATATAATGAAGGGTATCTCAGCCATACAGTAGATACATTTGTGATAAGCCGATGCTGTCATTTTTTAATGTTTGGTTTGGTCGACATAATTTTGAACCTTGTGCCCAAAGAATGATTTGTAAATTTTGCGTAGTTTGTTGTAGGATTTCTCAACCTGAGTAATTAATTGTCACACCGCGTATCTGGCCGGCTCTTTTTGGGTGCATTCCACCAAATCGTGGTATTACTACGCGCGAGCTCTTTACTTTTCCCGCGGGATTTTACAATAAGACATGCCATAATCAGGAGGGATCATAGAAATATTTCTAGAAATCCCGAATTTTAGCACTGGCAGTTTCCAGGTCGAGATACTTCTTTCATAAAACACCCAAACTTGCGGGCCTATTTTGGATAGAGGTGGGCGGCCACATTCAGAGCTGAGTGCATAGTTTTACTATTTTGGGGTATCTTCAGGGAAAGGCGAATAAAAAAAAATTACACTGGCCATAATCTTGAATTTCTGGTAACAAACAGAAACAGAGGCCAACCTCTTCCCGAGAGTCAACAGGCGGCACCATTTCGGTCTGATTTTGCACTGTTTTCTATTGGTGAGCACCAATATATTGGTGCCTGTGGCGGAACCTGTACCCTCACCATAAAAGTTATCTACTGCCCTCTATTGCCCTTGTCTGTACATTTCACACAATACGCACAGCTAGCTACACGGGAATGCAAAGGGATGGGTCCCCAGTTTGGTGGTGTTCATCCTTTAGTCTGATAGCCAAATTGTCTTGATCATTTTGCAACTTCAAGGGCGAATCCAGGGTTGTACGCATTGAGGTCATACCCAATCCCCCCTCCCCAAATAAAGGGGATTGTTTGGGTTGAAAGGGGATTTTTTTGTCTATTTCATTAGCCTTCATTAAGCGTGTAAAATGTCTAATGAACCTCACTCATCAGAACGGCCGTGAAAAATTACATGAAAAATGTCGATTTGGGTCCCCAAAACAGATCTCCCCGACGTGGATCAGTGGATTAGTCCTTGTGCAACCTTGGGTTATTTTTATAACTCAAATGACATTATTTTTTTCTTCGAGTATAGAGTAGTAAACAAATATGTCTGATTATGGTTGAAGTTAACGAGGGCACAATCCATGTACAACAAACAACTCGATGATTTTCAATTGGAAGCTTTCTGGTTACCCTATACAAGAGCAGGGCAGAATTCCTCCACATTTTTCATGTCGTTTTTGTTGCAAATTAAGTTTCACCCGTCGAGCTCTAAGAAGTTTTCCCAAAAATGTCTTGCAGTCATTGTGACACCAATTTCGTGCAAATTTGACAATTCGCCCATTGCATTTGCCAAGACAAGTCGGCTAAAATAGACACATTTTCCACGGGCATGCTCAATGCACGCGGGTTGACAAAGTCTCCCGTGTGGTCTTAACTTCAAATGACCGTAACGACATTACGCTATGGACTCGAAACTTCTCACATTTGTACTGATAAATGAACATCCATAATTCCATGCGAAATTTTAAAACATAAAAAATCATGGCTTAACACAACCGAGTTCCACCTCCTCTCGGCTGTGAGACGGCCTGAAAAGAGTTATTTTTGGGTTAAATGGGCTGAAATCCGCCAACTTAATGATTGTAAGAAATATGTTTGAGACTACCAAACCATCAACCTGGATACTAAAACTTTTTCTTAATTTTTTGATTTTTCAAACAAAAGATTCATAGTGATGTCACATTATAATGTTACGTAGGCTGTTTCGTTTCAAACGTCCAGTTACGGGTATAGCAACCAACAATATTGGAACTCATGGTTCCATCTCTAGTTGGATATTGAACGTCGATATTGTACATTTTTTAACTCATGCAAACTCATCGGGCATAAAGTAATGAAATAAGAATGATCCTTATTTATGTAGTACTCATGTCATCTATAAAAATATCTGATGGGCGCACTCTGGGAGAGAGACGGGAGTGTTTCCTGTTAATAATTGGGGAATCTCTTTGAACAAATTTCAAAAGAATCGTCCTCCATTTTCTGGTTGGCCGTTGCGAAATTGGTTGTAACGTCAATCAATTTTGAACACAGAGGGCGTTGGTTACGGTCCACTTTCGAGGCGCCGCAAAAGTCGTCAACTGCAAAATCTACATTTCTGCTGGCATAAACTTGAGTTTCTCGAAATAATTGACGCGAATTCTAAAAACCTGAAAATCTTCTGGTAGAAAAAATGAGAAATATTGGTTGTCCACTATTGGTACTCCATATGTGCCATCCGCTGATTTTTGATTGTGGGGTTTAGAAGTTTCTAGTTGTCCACTTTTGGGCCACCTCAAAAGTCGTCAAGGTAAAATCCCAAATTTTGCTTGCAAAAAATTGTTTTGAAAACGCTTGACGCAAATTCTGAAAACTTTAAATCTACTTGCAGAAAATAAGAAGAAAAAGAAGAAGAAAAGGTTGTTCACTTGTGCAGCATCAAATTAATTTTTGCTGATGGGAATTTTAATTTTCTAGTTGTCCAAGTTTTGGGCACTGCGACAGTCGTCAAAGTAAAATAGGTCTGCTGTCGGAAAACTTACTTTTAAGAAAAAGTTTGGCAATCTGCCTCAGGTGCTAAATATATTCGCATTATTATATCACTCTGGGAAATTAAAGAATGTATTCTAAAATCGCCACATCATATTGAGATGTGACAAGCACACAAAAAACACCTCAAATTAAATGGAACGACCATATACATGTAATCTCAAAGCCACAAAATGGAGATGTAACATGCCGTGATACACTATAAATAAGAAATGTTAAATATTTCAAACATCCAAACACAGCAGCTAGTCTGTGAAGCTGCAAGGCCGAAGATCAGTTGAACAGTATCAACACGTGAGAACGAGGGATTTCTGTTACAATTTCCGCCTGCATGCATATAATGCCGCAACAGGGGTAGGCATACAGCACCTGATCCAGTTAGACCCGCTACACTCGGGTAAAACGGGCTGCCGGGAGTTTTAGCCTAATGGGAGTTTCACAGCATGACGATGAGGTTTCAGAAGTGCGTTATTATAACATCCACTCAAGACGCTGCGAAAACATATCTCCAAAGAGCATGGACATTCGGACAACACTAGTTCTTATCCCAATAAGCAATGTTAGGAAACTGAATATGGGATGGGTTATGGCCTATTTGTTGAAAACTTGTGCGAGACGAGCGCACAGTTTCTCGCCAAGTTTTAGAAATCTGGGAGAGGTGGGTCTTGGTTGCACAGTAATAAGGAAATAACCCCTAAACCTGCCAAACTGTACTCGTGCACGACGCCTTTAAAATTCAGAATCGAAAAACTTCTTCCTGGCGTGGATCATGGATGCGTGTATCAGCACATTATTAGCTTACCGACGATAAGGAGCAAAGGAACTCTCTAAATCGGAAAGAGTGAAATTAAGGACAAGACGTTCCAGAGTGAAAATCACTCTGAATTTAGACTGGAAAAGGCTGAAAATAGCGCCTTCCAGAGGAAGCTCGAGTGAAATTTCAATCTTTTGGAGTGAAGAAATTTCACTCCATTTCGTCTGGTCCTTAATTTCAATTGGAGGGATTGAATTTTAACTCGAATAGAGTGAATATTCACTCTTCGGAATTTAGAGAGAATGCTAGTCTGGTGTCTTGGAGTATGACTTCAAGACGTTGACAATCAGTCTGGTTCCCTGGAATCTGCGGCAAGTACAGCCTACGCACATTCGTGAATTATCTCATTGGTGATCGCACTGCAGCTGCTTCTGAGGTACATGCACGAGCGAACGTGCAAAGCTACAGCATGCACAGTGTACGTACCGGTCCCCGAGTGAGTCTGCACCGTTCGCACACTGAACCCACAACGTCTTATAAGCCAACAATAATTCAAGAAATGAGGTCCCAGCTCCATTATCGGTGTCAAGATGTCTGCTATCTGCAATCGTGTGGCTAGCGCTACTAAGGTGAAGGCCGCTCTGCAGAACGACTCGGTGCCACTTCTTACCCATACCCGGCAAGGATCAGCTTCCCGATGATAGTTCCAAATCGGCTGGGTATTGTCTCGACAGGTAAGATAAGGTGATCGGAAACGGCAGAATTAACGAGACGCGCAGAGCGGTTCAGCTTCGCTGGCTGTTCTTGATAATTGGGAGAGAATCTTTCATTGCGAAGTGCAGAAACCGTGGTTCATGCATCATACGTCACCCGCATTGTTTGATCACAATGGGGGTGATGGAAGGGAATGACATTCAGTTCGTTTACCACACGGAGCCCCACGAATAGCCGTCCAGTGATCGCATTAAATATGCAATCTTTTCAGTAAATTTGCAGTCCTTACTTTCATGACCCGCTACAATTTATACTGCCAAAATGGGCAAAAATTGCTTTGATTTATCGTATGCCCTTCCCCAAAGACCTCTCAAACCCTTTCAGTTCTGTGAAAGGAAAACATTCCAAAGCTACAATGGTAATTCTGGAACGAAATACACCTTTTAAAAAGTAAGAAAAAAATGAATTGTTGATAAAGGAACATTCATTTGTATAAATATTATGATCACAAAATATTGCAAATTTTGGTTGTGAAGAGCTCAGATGCAGCAGTGAGCAGGAGTGAGTTTTCCAAGTATAATGTAACGGTAACTAAGGCTTGTGAAAAAGTTAAATTGTAACCAGGACATCTTCTTTAAAGGCAACGACCTGGCCAGTTTAATCTTAAAAGAATCTTTCTGAAAGGCAGGGATTGAAACGTGTTGCCCTCCATTGGTGTCTCTACATTTTGTTGAAGTTTTTACGAAGTGAAAAAAAACCACGAAATCTTGCCAAATGGACATTCTGAGGGAAACATCGTGTTTGAATATACCAGCCATTTTAGTAAATACTAATGATCGCTTCTATGTTTCGGATTGAGGAATTTTTACAAAGTCGTGAAGTGTAAGACTTGAAAAATACTAATCCATACTTAGTTGCAGATATATTGTCTTAATTAGACAGTAATTCATTAGTAAAATTATTTTTCACTTTGTGAAAACAGGAAAACTCGAAGGTCTTTAGTTTGCCCTTTTTGATTGTTTTCTTTTCGTGAAAAATTATGCAAAAATATGTGCCCTGTTAACAATGTGCCTTTTTTCACTTTGTGAAAATGGAGAAATGCAGAAAACAAGCTTTTTGTTAGTTGTTTGTTTACAGTTACTAGAAAAGTAAACAACATTTTTTTGAAACTCTGCCCATTTGTTCTTTGGATCAAAAGAAGAAAATTGGTAGGAAAAACTCCAAATCAAAAAATTATCGATTATCCAGGCTTTTTCACATTGTGAAAACACCCGACAATTTGCATGTTGATGAGATCCAGTTGGACATACTGTCAGTGTCAATCAACCATGTTGAAGTATAGTACATGTACATTCCGTTTAATGTAGTCAGTGAACAATTTACTGCAACTTCTGTGTTTCACATTTTCCCAAAGCATTTTATTGTATGATGGAGCAATGTACATGTATGCGTATCTGATGATGAGGTCCCAGACCATCAAACTCAACAAAATGTTTTAACGAAAACCATAGTCTTATTGAAAAGAAAAGATGCGCTCTTTTGGAGTTGGTTATAACTTAACTTGCAGCTCTCAGGGTGTGTACAGACTGTAATAAAATTAGAAAATTCAGGACTGTTTGGGTTAATACAGTCATGAAGCAAGCATCTCTGAAAAGTAGGCCTATCAAGGTTGCAAATGAGCATGTGCATATATATCTCAACACATGCAGTACAATGCTCATGCATTTGCTTGTGCCTGGACAAGAATCAGAAATACATAACCCACAGACGGAAGGAAGGGAGAATATACCGGTGCATGTAGTAAGCCTACATGTAATTAGCAGTACAGCGTTCCACTGTACACTGTACATTAGTTGGTACACCCCCTCCTGCAGAGAGCTCGCTTGGCACCCCGCACACATGATCCATTGGCCAGTTGCAGGTCTTCAAACATGCAACAGCACCTGCCGAGGAAAAAATGACGCCTTGCTGAATGGCATTTTGACAAACACCTCATAATGCTCATAAATGGATTGCATAAGTCACACATCTTGAGGACTTTTCGCCTGAAAGTGTTGAAGATTATCAGGGGTAATTTTATAAATCTGGGGGCTATCTTTGTCCCTCTTCCCTGCCACAGGGCATGATTTGTGTCAATTCTGTGCATGTATTTTAGGTATAAAGTGAATTTCCAGATCTTTTCGCGTAAAACTTGCTTCAAGTCATTTCTGTAGATTCTTTGATGGCAAAGGAAACCTGTAGAGTTACAAATTCTCATTTCAGTTTTCAGTCATTCTTAACATAACAGAACTTAACTTAGGGTTTGCCCTATGTAATTTGGATGGCCCTACTTGTGCATGTGCTTTGTGTCATTGCGTACATTTCCTGTTTTAATTATGCAGGTCACTTGAAGGACAACCTTAAATTGGACCGATCAAAATATTTTTAGTGTGGAGGTTGCACACTTACAGTGTACGTGTATGTACATATATGTCCACAAATGTATTCATTGTACAGGTACATGCATTGACAAGTAGAAAGTTGTTATCTGAGAAAAAAAATCTATTGCTATTTTTTTTTCATGGCTCAAGCTGGCCCAGTCTGAATAATGTTAGGGCCAGGTGCTCTGTCTGTTAGAAAACTTATGCTAATACTTAGGTAAGGTGCAAGAATAGTTATACAGTCTTGTAGATTTGTGTTTAACCACCACAGATCCTGTCGGTCTGGAAACATTGATTTTTTTTTCACATTTTAATCAAGATATTGGACAAAGGGAAATTTCACCAAAGCAAGGCCACTGTGGATCGTTACAGATATTTGGTAGATATTGATTGTGGCACTAGAATATGGCTTGGGTACTGCCAGTGTGAGGAAATCCATGGGTCAGGTGTCAGTCAGAAGTCTCAATGACCTCCGGGACTGAGCCTGGAAGTCCAGTGTTCTCATACGTGTATAATCCAGGCCAGATTTCTCAATTCAGCTTTCATGGTCTGCTGCAGGAAGTCACCAGTACGCACAGGTCGTTGCCTATCAATACTTCCATGAAAATGTAAGAAACTTACAGTCCCAGAAATTGAGAATCAGCGATTCTTAACTCACTTATTGGTTAATTCCACAAACCCTTGGACAGAGTTAAAAATGGAATGTCTTTTATAACTTTAGAACCACAAGTGTCACAGCTGTACAGACGATATCAAATTAAACATGAACAAGACCTTTGACTTGAGTGGTGTGTCAGTGAGGTACAATCCCACCCGAGTAAGCTTGTGACTTTTTTCGCAAACTCTCGGACAAGCACTGAGCATACAGTGTTTGTTAATATATACGTTGGGTAAGGGCAAAACCCATTATATAAATCCATTCAGTTTGTTCCAATTCATCTCTAAGGCTCTGATTGGATTTGGTTTGAATTCAGTGTCTGCTGCTTCAGGTTAGTTTGCTTAGTGTACAACTTTAAAACCCACGTTTTGCATGTGTTCTTACAGTGCCTGATCAATTTAGCTGCAGTGTGTGGAGACGCATACTGCACATCTTTCCTATATCATATATATTTCATGGCTTGATGTCCGGTTCGTATCAATTGCAGTTAGCTGTTTGTGTAATGTTAAGCAGGAAGCTCGTTTCTCGGTTGAACATATGTGACTTTCCTCTGCTGGACAGCAAATTACGCTCATGTTGGACCTCAGATTGGTACTTACAGATGACTATCTTCATGTCTTGATCTTCATGGATTCCACTGCGGTGAAATTTTGACTTCTTTGGAAGTGAAATATCATCTTGTTATCCAAATGCATCTTTTGAATTTATGGCATGCCTAAATTGATTTCCTGGCGATGAAATTCTGAAATCTGCGACGGTGAAATTGAGTATATAATGCCTCCAGTGGCATTTAAGCCAGTAAAATGAGAGAGCTGTTTGCTAGCCTGATGTCCCAGAAGCTCTCTGTCAGTTTGTTGTTAGTGGCTTATTGAAAATGTTGAGTTTGGCTTTAGCAAAATTTGTTATTGTGGTGAAACAATATAGCCAGGGTCAACCCCAGTCCCAGGTAAAAATTGCTTAGGGAAGGCAATGTACCAGCAGACTTAATATATGCCTATGTTTTTCGTTTCCATATTTTGATCTCTTCCAAATTTTCCAGCCACAAAGTCCTTTAGTCATCTGTAGATTTACATGCTGTGCAAATGTTAAGATTTGTTTTCTTTTTTTGGTAATTGTACATGTACATGTACTTTATATTTGTGCCTTGGTACTTGGTTCATTGAGTCATTTAAATGTCAGTTTCTTTTAAATTTGTTTCATTATGATCAAAATACTTCAATACGATATACTCATCTTCTCAGTGGGCAGGTAAAAAGTACCTGTACTCCAGGCATTAAGGAAATTGCATGGGAAAAAATTAACAGTAAAGCTCGGATCTGTTTGATGTAGGCATAGCTGTATTATTAGTAACTTACATTGGAAGCAATATCGTGAAACATTTACAACCCACTCATGATAATAGCGGTACTTGAAGTATTGATTCATGTACAATGTAGCCAAGTGGGTCAACGATTCGGTTATCGTGTTCACTCAAAAATAAGTCGCGTCAAGGACATATTTTGGAGTAAAAACCCGTTTACAGGGGCGGTGTAATTCGCCAGTAAGGAAGAAATTAATTACGAAGGGTTTAAGTCAGAGTAACAAGGGAGTACATGTAGCTGCCCGAGACATACTGTACTTCATTTACAGTGTCATTGAGTAGGAGTGTAATGGAGATTATCATAACTGATAGACAATACAAATAAGGGGATATTTTGGTGTCTGTGGAGCTTGTTTGGACAAGTTGTTGTTGTTGGGACATGATCATCATGTACATGTAGATGATCATCTCTTGCAGTAGAGAATGAAATTGTTCATATGACGCAAGAATTGGGGCAGAGAGAACCCCCCCCGCCTTTGTGTTGGTCACTGTTTGATCGGAATCTCAGGAATTCTTTACAGACTTCTGGGGGGGGGGATGTGTGTTACTTTTTTAGGTAACAATAGTCTAGAGTGTGTATAG